AGATAAGGATGTCACTCAGGTACACAAGGACCCCCCAGTAAAGGTGTGGGTGTAGCACCTCATTGATGAGCTGCATAAACACTGCAGGAGCCCCCTGAAGTCTGAAAGGCATGACTTTGAATTGGAAGCTATCCAGAGGGCAGTTAAAAGCAGTTTTTCACTCATCTCCCTCTTTGATGCAGACCCGGTAGTAAGGTTCCCTGAGATCTAGCTTGGGGAATACTTTGCCCTTTGACAGGTGGTTGAATAAGTCCTTCATAAGAGGGAGAGGATACATGTTTTTGATGTATATGGCGTTCACGCCTCTAAAGTCAACACATAATATCAAGCTGCCATCTTTCTTCTCCTTGAACAACACAGGGGCAGCTAATCTTGATTTTTCAGGCTCAATAAAACCTCTTTCCAAATTGCTGTCGATGTATTTCCTTAATTTGGTCACTTCAGCAGGTGTCATGGAATACATCTTTGGTTTTGGTAAGTTTGCCCTGGGCTCTAATTCTATGGCACAATCAGTGGCTTGATGGGGAGGTAAAACATTACACTCTTCTTCACTGAATGCTTCAGCCAAGTCTTTGTATTGGTTGGGTACCAGGGAGTTGTCTGGGAGAAGGTGGGATACCATGGATGCTGACTCAGGCTCTGGGTTCAAGCTGACTGGTGGCTTTGTAGTGGGTGGAAGAGGAGGCAATGGGCCTGGTCCAATTATGATTTTTCTGAATCCATCCTCCCATTTGATCATTGGAACCTATTTGTCTAACCAAGCAAGTCACAGTATGAATGATTTGACATCTTGGGGGCCACTATGAAGCGTATGAATTCACGATGGGGCCCTAATTCCATCTTGATCAATTCTGTCATTTGAGTGGCTGCCCACCCCCAATTAAGGTTCCATCCACTTGCTCAACATTTCAGCACCCTGGTGGGTCAGGTACAAGCAGTTTCAGCTGGTCTGGTCAGCAGTCTCCTCACCACAATTCTCTTAGTTGGGGCTGCCAGAAGGAGTTTCCTGTGTTGGTTGATGCTGTGATCTAAGCTGAGGGAGGTGGCATATCACGATTGTAAGGTCTCTGGGATTCCCCTAATTTCACAGGCCTTCTTTACTTCTGGATCAATGGCTTTTTTAAAATAGTGTAAAGTCAGGCCAATCCATGAGGTGGCTTGCGACCCTTCTAAAGTCCCAAATGAATTCTGATAAGGGTTGCTTGCCTTGCCTCATTTCCATTAACTTCTCTTCATTCTCTGCTACCCTGTCTGGATTTTCAAATCTGAGTCTTAATAATTGAATAAATCTATTTACATCGTTTAATTTGGGGGCTTGTTCGTTGTATAGTTGGGCCACCCAGTCTGAAGCATCCCCTTCACTCATCCCATTTGTTATGACCGTAACCAAATCACGCTCTGTGGCGTATTGATCTCCAAATTGTTCTATAGGGGATCGGATTCAAATGAGGAAATAATTGAAATGTTCATGGTGGCCATCGAATACAGCCTCAAAGGGTATTTGGTCTGGCCTGGGTCATGGTTGCGGAGGTGGCACATGCCAGGCCACTGCAGGTTGTACTGGAATGGAAGGAACAGGCTGGTGGCATATGTAGGCTGGGTAGGCCCCCTGAATCCTGGCTGGGTGGTGCTTCTCTGAAATAGGGGTCCCTATGGCCTTGCTGCTGGTTGGGGCTGCAATTGTGGCTGCCAGGAGGAAGATGGATGTGGCCTGGTTCCCTGGTTGGATGGAGGGGAAGTGCCTGCTGTCTGCTGTCTGGGCAACCCCCCTTCAGACCAGGGCTGTGTTGGTGCTGGCTGCCATTGGCATTGAATCCACTCCTGGCCTGGATAAAATCCCCACCCTAGAGGGATACTCTCTGCAAGGGGAAAAATTCCTTCTGGAAAATGAGGGGATTGCCTCGGAGGCTGCAACATACCTGTCAGTTGATGCTTCTTTCTGGCTTTCTCCAACTGGCATCTGTATAGTCTCCTTGTTCCTCACGATACTTGGGTAGGTGAATATGGGTGGTCTCAAGCTTCCACCCATCCAAACAGACTGTGAGACCAAACCTGTCACCTTTAAATTCTGGAACTGTTGATGTAAATCTGCCCTTGATGGAATAATCTTGGGGTTGTCTTCTTGAGAGAATTCTGACCCCAAATTGTCTCTCTTCCCTCCAATCTGACAGAATAGCAATATGCCTGGGGCTAGAGAAAGATTTCTCTTCAAACAGCTGGGTTACATCTGGGTTATAACAACTTCTTAAGTTGAAACGCTTCGGTATAGCTTCCAAATCTCTTTCTCCTACTGCCATCCTCAAAGCATCCATCATCTCCTCCAAACAAGGGCTGGCAGGTTCAATTAATGCTCCGGAGGGAGGGCCCTCACACACTCCCCACTGCACATCTCCAACTTTGACTGATTGCTGATCTCTCTCCATCTCTGGGAAAAGAACTCCAGGGTATCAGCCAAGCCCTTTAAAAAAAAAAAGTGGACTTTGGGAAATAAATGTAAGGCATCCAGAAAGTATCCATGGTATCAATCACTCCAAGACATTTTCTCTCCAATTGATTTATTTAGAAACACTTGTGGTATGTCTAAAGCAATTTCCCAAAGTGAAAATTTTTGTCACGTTACACAGAATCCACCTTCTCTCCCCACACTTCTACACTTCATAAATCATGAGACCCAATTAACTGCAACTGGAATTTCTTTATATGACATACAGAATAACTTTGAACTTTTCAACTCCTCCAACTCTCTTAAAAAATGTGGCAGCTGAATTTCAAAGCTGACATATATACATTTGCATACACATACAATGCTAGCACTCTTATCAAAGTATTTTGAGATACCCCCCAAAATACTGTTGTATCAAATATATGTAGATATATGACCTCCCAAAAATATACAACAAACCCAAGCTTTGCTCTATATTTTATCAAAGTGATTTTGCATATCTGGAATAAGTAAAGTCCCATCATAATATGGCAAAGACTAAATATTGCAGATCATGAAACTTAGGTACACTTGGTATAGTGTCTTAACAACAAGGTCAAGTGTATGAATAGGATTTCAATTAAATTTGTGATCTAGTAAATCCTTCAGATCTTCATTTTCTGAGAATCCTGAGTTTGTCATTATATCTAAGTGCTCATAATTTGTGGATTCAATCAGTATTTACCTGAGAGCAGTGGTGGGATTCAAATAATTTAACAATCGGTTCTCTGCCCTAATGATTTCTTCCAACAACCAGTTCACCAAACTGCTCAGAAAGTTAACAACCAGTTCTCCTGAACTGGTGTGAACTGGCTGAATCCCACTACTGCCTGAGAGGTAATCTCTGGATGGTATAAAATAGCATGATAATGCTCGGAGAAAATTGAACTGTGGCTGTATTTGTGGTGTAAGATGTCACCAATCTGACTGGAATTGCACTTATTTTTAGCAAAAACTGCTGCATGTGGAACATGTATAACAAAAGATGGCAAGCTAGTCTAACTTTTCCATTCTATTTCTACAAAATATTAGGCAATAGCTCAATGGGCCAAATATTGTTAAACTCTACTGTATATAAGTAAAAAAAAAGTGTTGAAGAGAGCTTGAACTTGTATTTACCTGTGGTCATAGTATGTACTCTCTTTGTTTGTTTTGCAAACAAACAAAGCACTTTGATAGAATTGGCTATAGACAACTTCTACCTTATTAGGATCAAAAATTGTTGTCAAAAAGTGATTAGATAATTGGACAAAGTACATCATTGCCCTATAATTACATGCCCATATATAGTTATACAATTTTCTCCGCTCTCCGGGAATTACCCAAAGACAGCTGATTTTACTGTTATATATCTTATTCTGTATTGTTATATTAGTGCATTGCTTATGAATCTTATCTGTCTTTTAGAAGTCAGCACACTCTTTTTCTCTGGGAGGCCCTATGCTTGATTTCTAGTATTTCTATGTATATTCTAAAATGGCTACAGATATGTCTGCTAATTATTGCAGATTCTGAATTCCTGCACTACACTATGTTGGGAAGTGGTGATCAATATTTATAGGGTCATCTAATGGTGATGCTGGCATATGAAACACTGGCATTTGATATGTAGTAAGAGTAATGAATAGTGAAAAGTTGAATTAATAAATGAAATAAATAAAAATTGATATGTTCTATGATTATGAAACTAAGAGAAGCAGGAAGAATATAAGGAGATAAAATGAAGTGGTCTAGTCTTTTTAAATCAAGTTTAATGCATTTATAGAAGTGAAGATATATGTTTAAAGCTGTGATATGATGTATATTAACAAGTATGAATTAGTATACTCTATATTATTGTGAATTTGTATGAAAACAGAAATTGGTTCTGGTTTCTTGTTATGCTACAGTAAAGCTACAGAGGAATAATGAGGAATTAATTTTGAGAAAAATTGTGAATTGATTGGGAAGTGAGTGAAAATGGTTAAATTAACAGCTTTTAGCCAAGGCATTTGGTGCATAGAATTACAAATAAAAGTGATTATATGATTTGAATGAAATGAAGGGAAAAGATGCAGGAAAGAATATTTTAGAAATATGAATGGGACTGGAAGAAATATTTTAAAGAGTAGAATTTTTTAAAAGACCTGTAATATTGTTTCTAAGAAAAATATAATATACAGTAAATCCTTCAAGATGGCCAAAAACTTACAAGACTGCAGTTGTTAATGGAGAAATGTTAAAATACAGATATAATTTGCTAAATAAGTATCTTTTTGACTTGTTTTACATGTCTACAAACACTAGATCTATGCCTGAAGATTTAAAAAAATGCTGTTAGTGTTACTTTATGCAAAGGGAAAGAAGATAACTAGATTGAAAGTAGAAAATACAGGGCAATTATTTGTTAAATGTGCCTAGGAGAGTGGCAGAGTTTTTGCTGAGATTACAAGAGGTAGAAAAAAAATAAAGAAGTAATATGGTTTCATGAAAAGCACTGCTGTTTTTTTTTCCTCGGTATGAACTGTATGAATATAAGAAACCAAGTTTCCTACATGTTTTATCATATGCAAAATGTGTAATAAAATGAACAGTCTTGAATGATGGAACATATTGTGAACTTGGTAATGAGTGCTTATTGTGACAAGAACAATATACACTATGATGGAAATAAAGAATGCATAGTAACAAATGGGATTCTTAGCAAATATTCAACACTGAGCAGAAACAAGGCAAAGATCTGTGGTGTTCCCTTTGTTGTTAACCATAGTTACTTACTTATTGATAGATAAGAAAGAATGCTTTCAGTGATTTGGAAATGTGTTAGTGCATATGTGCATGTACTTTGGTATACAGACAATATACAGTATTCAGATATTGTTAACTGGGCACTCAGACATTTTCAACGAATGCTAGACAATTGCATATTACAGCATGGAATATGGGTCTGAAAATTAATGTACCAAAGAATAATGCTGTTATTTTTTTGAGGAAAAACTATGTGATGATACATGAATAGGCATATAGATAAATTTGCTAAAAATATAAACATTTTGGAGTAATTCCAACATGTGCTTATGTTGTTGAAAGATAGTAGTTACTACACAGTATGGGGAATGAAACTTTGTTAAAATGAGTGCTAATGGTTTTATCTATGATACTACTATACTGTCCAATTGTATATTATTTTGAGTTAAATTCATATTTCTAAAAATGCCCAACTTCTCAATAAATTCAATGAAAGTGTGAGATGGTATGTTATAAGAACCATCAAAATTAAATGATTGCAGTGGAAATGAGTTAGCTAAGAAGTGTGAGTAGTAAAACAAGAAGTGATAAGGTCAAGAATGAATGTAGAATGATATAAAAGTGAGCAAGCAGTGAATAAGAAAAATGGGAAATGTATAACTCATTTAAAGAGAATGAATTAGAATAAAATCATAAAACAAATATATAAAGAGTTTATGAGTCAAATGGAAATGAAAAATCAATAAACTAAATAAAATCTACAAAATGAGGTAGGAGAAAAGATTAAAGAACAAAAAGCAATATATGAATTAGCATTTGAATGTGATTGAAACCACGATGGATTATAAAAAGAAACAGTGAATTGTTGTGCCTGGGAGGTTTGAGCCTGCTGTGCGCTTGGAGTCTGATGTGTCAGAAGACACAGGTTCGAGTGATGAGGAGGGTTTGGCATTGGGATTTGAGCCTGCTTTAATGGGAGATGCAGACGTGAGCCAGGAGGATGAGGAAGTGTTAGAATCACCATCCTCTCCAGAACCTTCCTCATCAATTATGCCTCAGGTGTTAGCAGATGATCGACAGAACGTGCTGGAGTCCTTGAGTGATGATCAAGCTGATGAATGTTGGGTTGATGTAAGGACTAGATGTAGGCTGAGACGTCAAGCACAAATTGAAAGGAAACATCAAATCAGGGACTGAGTAGAGAGACTGACACGCCCCTTCAAGGAATATAAGGAGGCGGGTTAGCTTGGAATCCCCGTTAGGGTCAAACTTTGTTATTTACATTGGCAGTTTGGAAAAAGTTTTCTGTTTGCCGTTCGGCTCTGATTTATAGTGCTGCTCGTTATCTGGATTTGCAGACAGCTTCTGGGAAAGCTGCAAACGACAACTTCAGCCAGAAGAAAGTTAACTCTGTTGTTCCTGATATTGTCTGTTCATGTTTTTTCCTTTGGACATTTGGAGTCTCACCTTGTGGCCACAGGTGAGACAGAATAGTGAATGATGTTTCTGCAAACTATATTCAATTAGATTTCTTTTCTATTATCTCCTGTCTTTAATTTCTTTTGACTATTACTCACTCTTCTTCTGTACTGTGCATAAAATGTGATGATTATGTATTTATGTATTTATTTATGTATTTATTTAATTTATATTGCTGCCTATTTGCCCAAGATGACTCGAGGCGGCTTACACAATGTAAAACTATATCTAAAACAAAAAAAAAAAAAAAAAAACTAACAAAAAGAATCAAATAAATTAATAAAGTACAATAGAGCAAAATCTGGAAAAAAATAAAAAATTACCCCCCAACTCCCACCCTCTCGCCCTGATGACAGCAGATCACATTGGCCATTTGATGGGCTCTATCCCACTCTGGGTTCCCCAGGCCTGCTGGCAAAACCAGGTCTTCAATGCCTTTCAAAAGAGTGCTAGAGTGGGGGCCATTCAAATCTCTGGGGGAATGATATTCCAGAGACAGGGAGCCACCATGGAGAAGGCCCTTCTTCTGGGTCCCACCAGGTGTATCTCCCTGAGGGATGGGACCTGCAACATTCCCTGCCTCCCTGCTCTAATGCATTGTATAGTTGTGACCGGCAAGAGACGTTCCCTCAGATAACCCAGTCCAAAGCCATGAAGGGCTTTAAAGGTTACAACCAGCACCTTGAATTGCACCTGGAAGCAAATCAGCAACCAATGCAGCTCCTGCAGGAGAGGTGACACATGTGCACACTGGAGTCTGCACAAAACCATGCAGGCCGCTGCATTTTGCACCAACTGGAGTTTCCAGATACTCTTCAAGGGCAGCCCCATGCAGAGCACATTGCCATAATCAAGATGGGAAGTGACCAGGGCATGAGTGACTACGAGGAGGGACTGTTGGTCCAGGAAAGAGCATAACTGTTGCACAACCCACAGTTGTGCAAAGGCCCTCCTGGCCATGACCACCACCTGCTCTTAGAGCAGGAGTCATGAGTCCAGGAAAACCCCTAGATTATGCACAGGGTCTGTTTCGGGTAGTGCTACCCCATCCAAGACCAAAGGTGGCAATTCTCCCTGAGCCAACAAAGCCCATACCCAGAGCCACTCGGTCTTGCAAAGGTTTAGTTTCAACCCGTTGCTCCCTATCCAGCTCCTAACACCTTCCAGGCACTGTGAGAGGGAGGACACAGCAACACTTAACTCACCATGGGCCTAGACATGCAGCTGAGTATCATCAGCATATTGGTGATACCTCAGTCCATGGTGACAGATGATCTCACCCAGTGGCTTCATATAAATGTTGAACAGGAGCGGAGAGAGTACCAAGCCCTGCAGAACCCCATAAAGCAGTGGGTGAGGGCTGGATCTCTCCCCTCCTATCAACATTGAATAAGAGAGGCTGAAGAGGAAGGAAGTGAACCAAGACAGCACAAGTCCTCCCACTCCCATCCCCTGAAGCTGCCCCAGGAGAATCCCATGGTCAATGGTATCAAAAGCCACCGAGAAGTCAAGTAGAGCAAGGATGGATGCACTACCCCCATCCTGGTCCCACCAGAGATCATCCAAAAGTGTGACCAATGCCATATCTGTTCCAAATCTAGGCCTGATTAGTAGGGATCAAGATAATCCGTTTCATCCAGAAACCTCCGGAGCTGCTGCGCAACCACCACCTCAACAACCATCCCCAAAAAGGGAAGATTGGAGACAGGTCAGAAATTATCCAACCGGGTAGAGTCTAGCAATAGCTTCTTAAGAAGAGGGTGGACCACAGCCTCCTTAAAGTGCTGGAGCACCATTCTGTCCTGTAGAGAAGCATTAATCATCACCAGAGTCTACCCACCTGTCACCTCCTAGGAAGCTTTCACAAGCCAGGACGGACATGGGTCTAAAATACAGGTGCTTGCACACATACTCCTTGGATCTTGTCCACTTTCTCTGGAGCATCAGGGTCAAACCATTCCCAGATAACAGGGCAAGAACCTGCCTCAGAAGCTTCCACCGGACCAGCAACCATGCCGACATCTAACTGGGAATGAAGTCGAGCAATTTTGTCTTTCAGAAAAAGCATGCCCCTTCAGGTAGACTTCAATCTCCTCCTTCCCTAGGAGGAGACAGCTCACCTTAAAGAGGTTTGCTGGGCGATTATCTGCAGATGCAATTAGTGTGGAGAAGTATTTACACTTTGCTGCACGAATTGCCACAAGGTAGGCCTTAGTAGCAGCTCTTACTATGTTTGATCAAGTTCATCTCCTGTCTTCTGCCAACGGTGACCTAGATGTCTCCTCATGTGTTTTATTCCTCTCAGTTTCTCTCTATACCATGGGGCACAGAGAGGTCTACGGGTAAAAAGACGTCGCAAGGGTGCAATCCTATCCAGAGACTCAGTCACCTTCCTATTCCAAACAGTGACTGAGCTCGGCTGGACTGCATAATAGATATGCAGTTATAACCCCCAGCTCCTTTTGGAACCCATCTGGGTCCATTAGTCGATGGGGGCGTGACAATCCAATAGGTCCTATCTCGCTGTGAGGGGTGGGGTGGGGGTGCAGCTTTTGAGAAACTCATTGCTACCAGACTGTGATCTGACCATGACAAAGACAGGTCCACCAATTCCAGGTCACAAAGACACTGCTCTGACAAGACCACCAGTTTGGGAGTGTGACTACTATTACTAGTCGGGCTCTGGATAATCATGGTTTCCATGAAATCTTGGACTACCTCTGCGTCCACCCCCAGAGAAGGCAGGTTGAAATCCCCCAGAACTATAAGCTTGGGGAATTCCACCGCCAGCCCAGTGGTGAGGTCCAGGAGCCCAGTTAGGGAAGCTGCCATGCAGCAGGGAGGCTGGAGGCAGCAGCAATCCCACTTGATCCCTTGAGCCCAATCTAAGAAAAAGGATCTCATAGCCAGGCATTTGTTGAACAGTGCCTTTGGAGTCTACTCGAGATTCTCTGATAACAACAGCCATACCTCCTCCCCGGTCCTGAGGTCTAAACTGGTGCTATGCTCAATAACCCACTGGGCACATTTCTACAAGGGCAAACACCTCCCTCTGGGCCCAGTCAGGTCTCAGTTATACAAGCCACATCAGCCTTCTGTTTGAGGATCAAATTGGCAATAAGGTTAGCCTTATTGAAAGCTGATCTCACATTTAAAAGCAGCAGTCTAAGACCAGGGCCACCACAGGTCCGCTGATCAGGAAAATGAGGTGAGTGCAATGGGGCAGAACATGAGATCTGTACTAAATACCGAGGTTGCATTCCCTGTGCCCGCCCTCTCCCTTGTCTCCCGTATCTCCTGTTACCTGACACCACTGAAATAGGAAGCTCTCCTCTGCCTTCCCTGAGAACCATTCCATCTCCCATCCCCAAACACTCTTCTTTAAAAAGGGGAAAAAAGGGAAAAAAAATGTACTCCCACTGACAGACTGACAGAAGCGGGGCAAAGTGAGCCTTACAGGCACTATAGCATTTGCTCTCAGCACTCTCAAACTCACACCACCCCTTATTGCTGCAGAGGTGTAACATCCAGTCCCCCTTATCTCCCAACACACTCAGAATACATCCACTCAATGCATAAATGGCACCCTGCCCAGTTGCTCTCATCCATTCCTCTCCCCCAGCTCTCACCTGGGGGGGGGGGGGGAACCAACATACTCTCATTCAACATGCCCCAGGATCCCCCAAGCAACCCTTTCAGGCCCAAACACCCACAAAACTGCAGAAGCAAAGGGTACCCTGCAAAGGGTAACCAAAAAAATAACCAGAAAGGCCTGCAATGCTGCATTGGAAATTTAGCAGCTTTGTAGTCTTACAATGTCTCATGAAGTTCACAGTTCCAAGCTCTCACTTGTCAGTTAACCTCAGGAAATCCCAACAGCAACCTGCCACTCTCCACAGTGTTATTAACCACGAGTAGACCCAGCTGCCAACAAAGGCCAGAGAAGCTTGTCTCTTCTGTCAGCTCTGCCTCCATCAATTCAGATCTGCAACTGCTGACTCTTGGGTTCTCAGACCAGGATTTAGCTTCAGTCAGGGAAGTCCAGTGGGAGATCAGGGAAGCCACACAATTGTAAAATCGTCCACCTCCTCTTCTCTGTCTCTCTGTTTCACCTTCCAATTGTCACTTTCTTTCCAGTCCACTCTACCAGCTCTTGGCCTATCAGTTTCTTCACCTCTCTGTTTCTTCAAGAAATTCCAGCCTTACAGTTAGTTTTTCAAGCTTGTCTCTTTTTTGCCTTTCCCTCTACACTCTTCCACTTCCACGGACCAATCTCTACAATCCAAATTCTTCAAAAACCTCTCTGCACAATATATACTAGATTCAGAAATTAATTCAATTAATTCAGAAGCAGATTTCACTAGAAAATGGCATAGTATTATAGTTTTGAATGTATTTGTTATATACCTATCTGACAATTCATTATGCATGCATATATTATATTTTATTGCATATAATATATTATCACAAATTACTGAATTTATTTTTATTCTACTATAAAAGAACAAGAGTGAAAGTATCATTGGCTAAAATTTTAACATGATTTGTATTAATTTTTCTATTTTTCTAGTAAGAGAGAAAAAAAATGTGTTAATTATTCATTACATAGCACATAAACTAGGATCTTTCTAGTTCTAAACAATGAAAGGAATTGCAATGCCATGTAATTTGTTAGAGTAAGAAGTATGTGGGTTTGTGTAGATTATGTTATTTAGGGGAATGGATCATATGCCTTTTACCTTCTTCCCCAGTAGCTCATATCGCCACATATGTCCTGGAAGTATTTGGCACATAGAGACAATATAAATCACTGAGCCTTGTTACTCTCTGCTTCTTGATAAAGATTTTACAGAGGATGAACCTGAAAATCTCACTAGGGAAAGTCTGCTTCTATGCTTCTGCATAATAAAATATACTGAAGACAAGAGCTGCATGCAAAATGAAAATTTGCTATTTTACAGGCCTTTTTTTGTCTGTGCTGCCATTAGCACAAATCCGGTGTGTATAACATGTTGAATTACAATGATGAATGTTCACTTATTAATAAAACTCTGAAACTTAAGTAGTAAGCAGCATATCCATGCCAATGCTGCTACAAAAATAAGCATAAAGAATTCTTTATAATAGCTCCAAAACAAATATTTGAGGTATTTCTTAACCTAAGAAATACGTGTTTATTTTTTCAACCAAATTGATGCAGGTAACTATTTTCAGTAAAAATGCAGACCATACAGCATTAAGATCGGGTGGGATTCTACCAGTTCGCACCTATTCACTAGAACCGGTTGTTAACATTCTAAGCAGTTCGGAGAACCAGTTATTAGAAGAAATTACTGGCCTAATCCTGTAAGGAAGGCAGAAAGGAAAAAATTCTGGTCTGGTTACAGAATCTGCCTCTCTGTTAATCTTATTACATTCTTGGCAGGATTAGACTTCCTGTTTCTGGAACTTCTCTGGAGTTTTTTCCCCTCCTTTGCTGGTACTTTGCTTGTGTGGAGTGACCATTCAAAGTTACAATGGCACTGAAAAAAGTGACTTATGACCATTTTTCACACTTATGACTGTTGCACGAGAAGCCAGGCAAGGAGATGGTGCCTCGATGTGAGTGATGTTGAGTTGGCCACGCCCAGCCATAACATGACCACCAAGCCACGTCCACCCAGTCACTTGACCACCAAGCCACGCCCACCAACTAGGCACACCCACAGAACCAGTTGTTAAAAAAATGGAATCCCACCCCTGATTAAGATGTAGTGATGACCAGGCTTCTTATATCTTACCTCAAATTAATTTAGATAAATTGAACTACATATTCCAAAACTAATACTGAGTAGCTTCCAAGATAATACATTTTCCCATTCATAGTGAGATTTAATGATACTGCAAAACTAGGGCCAGGAAGTAAAAGCAATAATGTCCAAAGTGACATATTATGAGAATACTTAAACCCAGACAGTTCATCTATTTTTATAGGGTTGTCCTTCAAGACAAAACAGTTGGAGAGAAAACAAAATTAAAAGTAAGCCTCTTCTTTTGGGATGCTCTAGCTGCCCAACAATGACTCTGGAGAAGGAGGATGTGGTATACTGAATCAGTACAATTAACATTTCTGGTGCAAGTTCTTATGGATTCTAGTATCATCATGGAGAAAGTGCTATAAATTATGCTTTTGATCCAGTTAGCCTGTTTCTTTCTACCATAATCTCTGTCTATCAAAAACATCAATAAATTATGAATCACTAAATAAAGCATTATGAAAAATATGTTATACTCCTTTTCTTATTGTTAAACTTTATCTGAAAGTTGCCTGAAAATATATTGTGGCTTTAAGATAATGGGGCATTTGGCATAACAGGAAAATAGAGTCTATTTACAAATACAAGTCCTTTGTGTGCATCAATGGATACTTTTAATCCAAGCCAATATAATTCAGATTTATGTGTATTGTTCCTTTTCAGAAAGACTATACAGGCAGTTCTAAACCTACAACAGTTCATTTAGTGACCGTTCAAAGTTGCAAAGGCACAGAAAAAAGTTTTCCCACACTTACAACCTTTAGGCAGCCCTAGAATCATGTGATCAAAGTTCAGGTGCTTAGTAATGGATTCATATTGATGACCATTGCTGTGTCCCAAAGTCATGTAATCTCCTTTTGAAACCTTTGGGAAAGCAAAGTCAATGAAGAAGCCAGATTCAATTAACAACCGTGTTAGTTACTTACCAACTGCAATAATTCACTTAGAAATTGTGACAGGAAAAGTCATAATATGGGGAAAAACTCACTTGATAATTGTCTCATTTCACAACTGAAATTTGGGGTTCAATTGTGATCATAAGTCAAAGACTACCTATACTTCCAAGTTGTATACTGAGAGAGGGTGGGGAGAATTCACTGTTGATTTTGAAATTTGTATGTTCCTTTGTTGAACTTTTGCTGTAAGTTAATCCTATTATATTTGAATTGGAAGGAAAAAACATGAGAGAAAAATGTCTACAGATTTCTTCTGTAGAAACTAAAATATGACTATGCGGGCTATAATAAATATTAAATTGTACAATAAAAACAAATTGAAATGATTTACTGATATAATGGGGGCTAAAATATTCTAAGATAGAGATATTGTGATGGATGACTATAACATCAGCCCAGTAGCAATGGGGTATAATGCATGAAATCATTTTTAGGTGAAGTGTGACATGCAGAAATAAAATACCTACATTCATGTGTTCCTTTAACCTACTGCAAATCTTTGTTTCAATCCGAGGTAAGTTTCTGTATAATTTAAAGTAAAATAGGTTTTAAAATATAGAATGGGTCACCATACAGTATTCACTTCTCAAGATTTTAACATAAAGAGATTAAAGCAAAACAAAACCAGAACAGCAATTGTGTCAAGTAAGTTTTTGTATCAGTAATCCTGGTCAGAAAAAAAGATATAGAAACAGCCCTTGTTATTAATTCCTAGCAAAGCCACAGGAAAAACAATATTCATGTCAATATTCATGTATGCAATGTCAATAGAGACTATAAACAGTTTTGACTTTGTTTTGGGTTTTTGATACATATATTTTAATACAGAGTAATTATGTAATGTGAAAAAAGGTAATAGGAAAATAGTTTAAACAGGGATGAAGGTCATTTTAAAAAGACAATTCAGAGATGGAAGACAAAGGAAAATTGACTAAGGAATTAATGCAGAAGATCCTAATGAGGATACACAAAAAGTTTAGTGAATGGAAATATACAAATATAGGAAATGGAAAGAACTATTAATAATTAGCATGGATAGATAGCTCAAAAATGTAATGATAGTAGGTAAATGCACAAAAATGAAGAGCCAGAGATATGACTGTGAGCCATTTTCCATCTTAAATAAATGATTAAATGTCAAATGCTATACATCCATGTGTAACTAGCTTTCTGTCCATCTGAGAAGTTAGTCTTTCCATCAAAGATACAGACTTTCACCAAGTATTTCTGGCTCTGAATTTTCCATAGCCATGTAGGAGTCTTCAGCTTCAAAATGTTCTAGAGCAGGGATGGGTTTCTGCCAGTTCTGTCTACCTCTGTAAAACCGGTAGCT